TCGGCCCCCGCCGCCCGCTCCAGGCCGGCGCTGGGCGGAGGAGGCGGCCCCGCCGCGGAGCCCCGGGACAGCTCCGGGACGGCTCCGCCCCCGCCCCGCCGTTACCTGAGCGGCGGCGGCGCCGCGGCCCCGCTCCGGCCCGCCCGGCCCGCCCCGCGCGTCACTTCCGCATCCGGGGCCGCCGCGCGCGCACGCCCGCAGGGGGTTACTGCGGCCCCGCCCCCAGGAACGGCCGCCCCGGCCCCGCCCACCCAGCGCGGGGGGCGTGTCCCGCTTCGTCACGCGCCTTCCCGCGTCCTCGGGCGATATCACGTGACGCGCGGCCCCGGACGCGGAAGTGGCGCTCGGACGGTGCCGCTGCCCCGGCGGGGACAGGGACCCGCAGGTCAGGAACGCGCCTGGGGAGCACCGCGGGGCGGGCAGGGCTGCGCCGGGGCGGGGCTGCGCGGCGCACGGTAACGCCGCCGCGCTGTGCTGCGCTGTCCCGGCCTGCTGCGGCCGCGGAGCGGCACCGAGCGCTGAGGTGTCCGAGCTCCCCCCTGGGCCGTTTCCCCGGGGCTCTGCGCGGCCGTCGCGCTGCTCGCCCTGCGCTACCGCTCCCCTGCGAGAGTTGGGGCCCTGGCGGGCCCCGCTGTGGCCGGACCGGGCCCCGCCGCTGCTCCGGCACGAACTCGCTGGGCTGCTCTCGGTCACTTGTAAACGAGCAACCAAAGGGCCCCAGCGGTTCCGCAGCCGGTCAGTGACCGTAGGTACCCGAGCGCTGGAGCTGCTCGGGTTTGCTCGCTCTCCAGCACCTTTCCCTGCCCCGAGCAGGGGCATCAGTTCCAAGTTTGAAACTTTATTTTAACGAGTTTTGAATGTACGGATTATTTTCCCTCCGCGACGAAGTAATGGAAAGCAGTGCTTTGGACTTCAGTGTTTGCTGTCCCTGCCCAGCACTCCCCTCTGCTGGCCCAGCTCTGCTGTGCCGCGGGGAGATCAGCGGGAACAACGGGCACAAGACACATAGAACGGGTGGTTTGTACTGACAAGAGGTCTGTGTTTGCTATTATTTGTTGTCAGATATGCGAGATGCCTTCAGCTGTCTTTGCTCGAAGCAGCTGAGAAGAGCTGGAGTCCAGGATGAGAACCAACAAGGTGTACAAGCTCGTCATACACAAGAAGGGCTTTGGAGGCAGTGGTCAGTATCTCCTGGTTTGCAACATGAGACCAGCACTCACCTAATTGAAAGCAATTGATTAATAAATTACCTTTTTGACAAAACAGTGAAGGTGGAACTTAGGTTGTAACAAGCAGTGTTGCCAGCCAGAGTCTGGAAACTCTGGTAGGTCTTTCTGATAGCAGGATAACATTCTGACAACACAATAACATTTGTTGGAAGAGAACAGGATTGCACCTATACAATAAAATTGCTTTATTCTACCTCTTCCCCTTTTGTTGCGTCACTTTTTTTTTAAGCCTTGTGTTTCAGTCACCTTCATAAGTGACAGACATGTCAGTGACTTCTGACTGCAGGAGGTTGTGTTCCTGTGCACTAATAACAGTGTCCTGCACTGATAACTGCCCCCTGCTTCTACACTTACACATGCTGATAAATCCTGTTGAGATTTCCTGGCTGGCTGCTTTCCTGCTGGTGTTTGGTATATGAAAAACAGAGAGGATGATCCTGGCTGCCCAATTAAGGCACATTCTTTTGCTGAACACACCCTTTGTGAAAGTTCTGTTATTTGAGCTGTTTGTGTCTGTGGGAGGGGCCCTGTCCTGGGGTGAAGGTAAAGCCTTGCTGGCACATGGGGCCTGGGCTGGGGTGTTTGTGTGGAGTAAACTATTGTGTGCAAACCTGCAGGTGTCTGTGTTTGGTGTGTATCTGCTCACTGCCCTCATTTGTGTCTTGTAGATGATGAACTGGTGGTGAATCCTAAAGTATTCCTTCAAATCAAGCTGGGAGATGTTGTGGAGATTGCCCATCCCAATGATGAGTACAGGTGAGTTCTCTTTGCTGATGTCAGTCAGGTGTGGTGGGAGCACTGAAAAGGTGTGTTCACCTGCAGTGGCTCCTGGAGTGAGGGGCTCTTACAGCTGATACCACTTTGATGCCATGAATTTTTTCTACCTGAAGGAAAGTAAAAGAGTTGACTTTAGCAGGAGCTCTTGTCTAAAGTTTATGGATTTCTTTGTGTTTGGTGTTAGTTTGCTCACCTTTCATAAGCCAAGTAGCACCTGAATACAGAATCTACAGTGTCTGTATCCTGTTCATAGAGCTGCTGTTACCTAAGGATTATTCTTCACCCTGTAGTATATCTTAGGACAAAATTAAAATTATGTTGTCAGCCATAAAACATAAACCTTCTTCTATGAAGCTGTTCATCCTGCAGCCCCTGTCTGAAAAGCAGCAGAACGCTGGTGTGAGGCTCTGAGAAGTTCTTGTGTGCCTTATTTTCCCATTTATAGTATCATCTCTACCTCAAGAATGCCTTATAATGAGTGTAAAGAACAAGAGGGGGTGACAGATGAGCAGGAGGATGGATGAAGCTTCCTAGAAAATATTATTGTTTCTCTTTAGCTTATCTGTGCTCTGTGTTTCTAAATAGTTTTGAGAGTAATTTACCAGATAGATTGTTGGTTTCTCAACTTGTTTGCTGTTTTCTCTTTTGCCTGCTAGTCCCCTGCTCCTGCAAGTGAAGTCACTGAAGGAGGATTTGCAGAAAGGTAAAACTCCAGAGTTATCTTATGCACAGTAAAATGATAGACAAGGATTATGTGACTGAACTGTACCTGTGCTTGGCTAATGCTTGTATTTTAACTTCGTAGGTAAATCAATGCTCTGTCTATTTAGGAAGGGAGGGATTACAATTTTAACAGAAAATGATCAGCCAATTTTAAATCTGCTTTTGGTTGAGTGATGTGAGGTGTGGTTTAAACCAACTTGGCTTTTTAGCCTGAAATTTTTGTTTCTGCCTTTTCTGACTGGCTTTATATCTTCTTGCAGGAATTAATTCGGCCCAAACTTTGCGTTTATCTCATGTGCTTTATTTTTAATGACTCTTAGATTGGCTCATAGCTGAAATAAGCTGTTGCCTTTTGCTGAGGTGTTCACTTCTCTGCTGTCCTGTCTCATTTTTGTGGCAGAAACAATAAGTGTGGATCAGACAGTTGCCCAGGTGTTCCGACTGCGG